TTACTATTATTATTATTATTATTATTATTTATTTTTTTTTTTATTTTTTATTATTTTTATTTTTATTATATATATATATATATATTTTTTTTTTAGTTTTACTTTATATAATAGCCATATATGTATATATAATATACATTATATAATATATGCTGTTTGTACGCAGTATATGTACATATATTGTATATACTTTTTCTTTCAGTGTCGCGCTGTTAGCTATTTATAGCTGAATATGAAATTTGTCATTTGGAGTTATTTTACGGGCAGCCCCTCTAAAAGGACGCCTCTGCTGCTGCTGTTGCTGCTGCTGCTATGCAACAGCTGTCCTAGAGAGCAATGCTAACTGTTGTTGTTGTTACAGCTGTTATTGCTGCTGCGGCTGCTGCTATAGCTGTTATTGTTGTTGCTTTAGCTGACTTTGCACTTGAATATGCATTTGTTAGGCGTGAGAAGCAAATGGAACTGGTTTTTTTTTTCCGCTGCTCAAAGCACAAAAGCAAAAATAAATAAACAAAAAAAAAAATCATAATGAATGGGCACACAGATTTTTACTGATTCTATATAGTATGCATGTATATGTGTGTGTATGTATTTATGTATGTATAAATATATGTTTGACACTCGTTTTTAAAGTCTTTTAACACACACGCACACGCACACACTCTCACGCACACGCACGCACACAGACACACACTTTACACACCTCTGCATCCATTTTGGCAACTGCTGTTGTTTGTTGCTGTTGTTTGTGGCTGTTGCTGCTGCTGCTGCTGCTGCGGCTGCTGTTAAAATTCGGTCAATGCACGAGCAGCGCTGGCAAAGAAATGAACGCGTAATTTGGCAAATTCTTTTGGCGCGGCGTTTTTTAAATGATTTATTTTTATTGCCGTTTGCTGTTGCTGTTGTTGCTGCTGCTTCTTCCTCTTCTTTCCACTTATTGTGCTGCGGCGGCGGCGACTGCTGCTGCTGCTGCTGCAGTTGCACTTGTTGTTATTAGCTGCTGCTGCTGCTTCCTTGTGTTTATGTGTGTCATGTGCTCTTGTTGTTGTTGTTGTTGTTATTGCTCCTTTACACTTTTGCGGATCCTGACTAATGGCTCAGAACGTGGCGTGTGTTAATCGCTTCACGAAATCATCAAGACTGACGGCCCGGCCCGCCTCACATAGGCGCGCTGTTGCTGCCGCCGTCGCTTTCTGCCTTCGTCGGCGTCGGCGTCGGCGTTGGCGTCGCTGCCTTTCGGCATTCGGACACTTTGTGTTGAGCGACTGCCGCCTCTGCCGATCTGCTGCCCCTCCTCCTCAATTGTTTCACTCCCTTTCGTTCCGCTCGCTTTCCAAGCTCCCCTCTATTCACACACACACACACACACACACACTCTCTCTCTCTCTCTCTCCCTCTCTTGCTCTCTTTCGCTCCTCCATTCTTGTCCAGCATCTGGCGCTTCCGTGGCTCATTACGAAAGTATTTTGTGACGTCCTCAATGGAATCGGAATCGGAATTGGAATCGGTTCTAATGTCCAACCGGTTTATTTATATTCATATATATATCATTTTTATTAGTATTCTTCTTCTTCGGCTCGTTCTTTTCTTTTTCTTTTCATTTCATTTCATCGCGCACCCCCGCCTCAGGCAGCTGCGCAGTCGGGCGACCAATTGAGCGCCTGTCCAACAGGTTGTCACTCAGCCAGACGACATGGCCAGGGCAACTGGCGAGACAGGGGCAGTGGGAGAGGAGGAGGGAGCGGGGCGGGGCGGTTGGATCGTTGATGTTGTCGCAATTGCCCTACAAAAGCGTGCAAGGTACACACACATGCATACACATCTCTCTCCCTCTCCCTCTCCCTCTCTCTCTCTCTCTCTCTCTCTCTCTCTCTCTCTCTC